GAGACAGGGTTTCACTATGTTGGCCAGGGTGATCTTGAACTCCCAACCTTAGTGATCCGCCTGTCTGGGCCTCCCAAAGTACTGGCATTACAGGTGTTAGCCATGGCGCCTGGCAAAGAAAACTATTTTAATGACAAACAAGAAGACACTGACCTTGCTGGTAAGTAAGATACACACTGTCCTACTTCAGCACAAAAAAAAATTCTTTAATCATATATTTGGGCAAGATAAGAATCTTTCAGAATATATTAAACACTTAAAGTTTTTTTTTTTTTTTTTTTTTTTTTTTTTTTTTTATTTTTTTTTTTTTTTTTTTTATTGTTTGATCTGGATTTTACAACCATACATTAAACACTTTCAAAGGGAAGAACAGATGAAGACTGACCTTGGAATATGATTAAATATCAGGTATATGTTTTGGCCTCCTAATTGAAATGTAAATGCCTCGCTGAACAAATTGTTTTTTGTTTTCTCTCTGACTCCTTTAAAACAAGTGTCAAACAAATAAATTGTGTTTACACAAAAGAAAACAATGAGGGAGGAATTATGTGCTTTGATAGAAAAATCTCAAAAATAATGTTATTTAAAGACAAAATCCAGATGGAGAACTATACTTTTGTGTTTGAAAAGAAAGATGGTTGTGCACATAGAATATACACAAAACATTTCCACAAGGCTACATAAGTGGTTATATTGTGGAAAGAGGGCACCTAGAATTGAGGATGAAGCTATGAGAGAAAACTAACATTTACTTTTCAATTTATTCTATTATATGCTATCTAGATATTTTACTATGTGCAAGTATTATGTATACAATTAAAAATTAATTTGATATATTTTTAAAATGAAGGAGATGCATTTGCATTAAAATAAAATACATGAAAACAGAGCTCTGCTTTGGACAAAGGATTGGAGGAAACAGAAGTTGACCAAGGCTGCCAGGGAATCCCAACAAAGTATGCAGGACCAGGTTCTAATTCTAGTTGTCTGGTCTCACATGGCAGAATGAATTCATTTGGCTCCTTTTTTTTTTGGTTGTTTTCTAAGACAGTGTCTTGCTTGTTGCCCAGCTGAAGTGCAGTAGTGCCATCTTGGCTCACTGCAACCTCCACCTCCTGGGTTTAAGTGATTCCTGTGCCTCAGTCTCCCAAGCAGCCAGGACAACATACATGCACCACCACGCCTGACTAATTTTTTATATTTTTACTACAGGTGGGGTTTCACCATGTTGGCTAAGCTGGTCTCGAACTTCTGGCCTCAAATGATCCACCTGCCTTGGCCTCCCAAAGTGTTCATTTGGCACTTCTTCTTGGTTGTACTACAGTTCACAGTGACATCCTTTTTCAGTGAGTACCTCCATCCCGATTCTGTGACTCAGCCAATTACTACATACAAAACAGCAAGCCATGCTCAGTGGCTCATGCCTGTAATCCCAGCACTTTGGGAGGCCAAGGTGGGCAGATCACCTGAGGTCGGGAGTTCAAGACCAGCCTGACCAACATGGTGAAACCCCATCTCCACTAAAAATACAAAATTAGCTAAGCATGGTGGCACATGTCTGTAATTGTAAACTGGGATTACTGGCATGCCTGTAATCCCAGCTACTTGGGAGGCTGAGGCAGGAGAATCGCTTGAACCCAGGAGGTGGAGTTTGCAGTGAGCCACAATCATGCCACCGCATTCCAGCCTGGGCAA